TCTGAAGCCATTCTGAAAGATGTTTCTCAAAAACACACCATGCATGCATACATGATGGATTCTTCCCACCTCTATATTTAAAAGAGGCTGCAGGATTTGGCCTTGCTTTAAACGTTATACACTCTTTATAAGCACATATATAAGCTAGAGTGATTGTGCATGCCATTATTGTTTCTCATAAGAAAACACAAATCATACAGAGAATTCTTGTTTGAAAAAGACAAGTTTATACTCGATTTTTCCCTCCCAGTGCTGTGACATGTTCAGGCAAAAAACCAAAAAACCAAAAAACCACCAAATTTGGCTACTTGCCATTTCTTTAATTTATATTAACTCAAGACTAATTAAATTAGCAAGAACAAAGAATTAGTAATAACTAGGAAAGCTCAGGCTTTTGTAGTTTTAGAAGAATTCTGCATGGTCTAAATTTGCTTACAGGAAACTATATTAAGGACTATCCTTGTTTTCTTTGTCCACAGACAAATTTTTGTGCAAGCCTCATCACATTCAAGCTGCTAAAGTCTTTTATTCTCCCACACTGTAACTAGTCACCCAAACTGGAAGGTGGGAGAGTGACTCTTCATGTTCTCTTCCGTAAGCCTTTCAGCCTCCCTGAAAAAATGCACTACTATGCCCAAGTCCTGTCCTCAGCTTTAAGGCTTCACTCTCCTCCTCACATGTTACACTTGCTTCAGTCACCAGATCACTTCCCATCATAAGGAGGAGCAGAGAAGAAGGTACAGTTTAGAAAAAAATGCCTACAGTTTAGGCTTGGTATCAATTTAGTTTAATTAATGACTCAATTGTAACCCAATCACACTGGTTCATCCTAAATCTTCATTTCAGACCAACGAATACCAGTTATCTCACCAGGTTACGAACTTTAAGAATAATTCATGCCAGTATTTTAAATAAAAAAGTGCTTCGACAGCAACTGCAAGAAAAAAAAAATGCAGAGAAAATTAGTTTTCAGAAGTTACTTTTGAAATGAATCTGCATGAGTTTGCTTTGTCTCATTTGTATCTGCTACGGACAGGAGAGTCTTCCAAATAAAACTCAGAAGAGCACTACTTTTTCTTCTCCATCTTCTCCAATCCCCATATAAGCAACAGATGTTGACAGGAAAAAGGGTTGGTTTTATTTTCCTCCCCCAACTGTCCAAATCTCTTTGCCCAAACAGGAAATTTCACAGGGAAGTTGCAGCACAGAACACTGTCGGGGGGAGGTGGGGAAAAAAGCTTGCAAATGGTCAAAAAGCCTTTGTACTCAGTACTCTGCAACCATCAGCTCGACTGATGAGAGACTTACTCTTACGGCGACTGCACACCTTTCAGCCTCCCTTTTGCATCTTGTGAAGAACAACTAATTCTGGATTTGTGGAGACGAGCCTGATGCCAATCTGTTAGTTTTAAATCACATAAGCATCCAACTAATGCCATGCAGTGCAGGCAAGCTTCTGCGCTCTCTCCTTTCAGTGATGGCATTAGGTTGATTACAGAAATGGAATTATCCATCAGGAAGAACACAATTAGTAGCAAACACTGTCCCCCACAATACACACCTCTGCTGTATGATACCTTTGTTTCCATGTTTGCCTGCAGTTTCAGAAAACTATTATCACTTGAGCAACCCAATACAGGGAGAGGCTGCCAAGCATAACACTCCAAAATTGTCTAACTGGGAAAAACACAAATTCTTCTGTCCTGCAGAGTGATTCTGACATAAGTGGGACAGTTCCCCCCACGCGCTTCAGAAAATACAGAAACGTATGCTGCAAAGAGGCACTCTTTATGGAGGTGCTGCCTCATCCCAGTAGCCAAAAGGCAGTCAAACCACATTGGAGACTTACCAAAACAGGTCACAGGAACAAACAAAAGAATTTTAAAAAATTAAAGCCAGCCAAAAGATTTTTTTGGAGGTAATTTGGACATCAATAAAATAGAAAACCAAGTAACAGCAAAACAAAAGCAAAACATTCTATAACATGAAATGCCTTAAAAAGGGGAGAAGAATGGCCCATACTTCCAAAAACAATTTTCCTGATGACATAAGTGGAAGGAAGACCTCAAACTGATCTCATTTGTAATTGCTCCTCCTTGCCTTAATGATAAACTTCTGTTCTATATGTCTGTGGAATACCCAAAATGACTTGATGGCTCTTACATTACTTCAATCCTCCACAATAATCTTCAGATTCCTTTAGTAAATCAACTCAGGTCGTCATTTGATAAGTTTTTCCCTCTACTTCTGTTGCTGAAATCAGAAGCAGTCCTGGAAACAGCCTGGTTTAGAAACATTACTATGCAAAAGAGAGGGAGATGAATCTAAGGAGAAACTCAGGTTAGTAAGAGATCTCTGGTATGAACCTAAAAGATGACAGTAGTATGCTTTTGCTTTACCGGTTATTTCACACTTTCAGACTAGAAGCAATCATATGGTCATCTAGTTGCACTACTAAAATTTCAACCATTCAGACTGACAGTTGCCAAAGAAAACATCAGTTTTATTCTGGTGACATCAAACTGTTCGACTGTTCTAAGAACAAAATTATGAAAAGCTAATTTTTGTCCAGATGGAAAAAATATCCTCAAATATTATCACAGCTATTTTATTGTGAATTTTATTATCTTTGCATTTTTAAATAAGGATTGGTAATTGGAAATATTGGTAATTGGAAATGAAATTCCTAAATTATGGCACGTTCAGCACCTTAAAGAAATTCAGATGTAAGTTCTGGCAAATGCTTGCAGAGTAAATGAAGCAGTAATTTGTCCTAGAGATTTCTAACTTGCCCAAGTTCTTATGTTTTTTCACCATGATGGCAAAAGGCATATCCCAGAAATGCCTTATGAGACATTCTCCCAAAATGAAATCATCCCAAACTCTCCAGAATTTTAATTTTTTTTTTTTTTTACTTTACAGTAGAGCAACCTATTTTTCCATAGCCTTTTTCCTCACAAAATTCTAACTAATTCTGACTCATTTTCTGAAAGAAAAAAATCTAGCCGAGAAAGATGCTTTGGTTGACAAGTTGGGATTGATGACCCGCAGAGGTCCCTTTCATCCTCTACAATTCTGTGATTCTGTGAATATTTCAGCCTAATAGTTAAAGCCTAGCAGACTGGTGAGTGGCCAAACAAGTTCTTGTAATGGCACATGCAATGTTAAGAGAAAAAGAATATTAGTCATTTTGCACTCCCGTTAGCACAGAGAACAGCAATAAGAACTGCTAAGACGACAGAGCCATTCAGTATCAGTTTCTGTTCCTCATTTCCAAAAAAAAGCAAGGAGACATTCTCATACCACTGCAAGGACGGGGAAGGAACTTCCTATCCATTGGTAACTCAGGCGGAGGATGAACAACTTGCAAAAGGCTTGATCAGTCTTCAGTGAGCATTCCTATATCATATTCAACACAGCAATTCTGAAGAGAGTTGACTAATGACACTTCTTTTTCTCTGATGCCGCTTTGTGGAATACAAAACATTTTTCAGACAGCTAATTTTATAAGTTACAGTTTGAGCTTTTCATCAGTGGAAACCCATAATTAAACAACAGCAGTTCCAGCAGGATTTGAGAGTAAACACTATTAAAATTGTTTCATCAATGACTTTCCTTTGTGTAGATAAAAGAAGTGAATGGTAACTGGAGAATGGAGACTTGATCTCAGAAATCAACAGCTGCAGAAGTTATGGAATCACATCAGACAATCATCCTGTGATCAAAAACAACCAGACCCACGTCCTTACTTAAGTGCCCTGAACACACAGGAGGCCTAGAAGTGAACAGAAGCTGAGCTTCTGTTTTGACAAGACTAACACTGAAAGGATACATATGGAGTAGCTGCCCTCATTTCTAAGACCCTGTGAAAAGTTTCAGAATGTGTAGTAAAGAGCCATGAAGATTGAAGAAAAAAAACTCTAGAGCTCCTTAAAGAGCTTATTCTGTTTAGTTTATGAAATTTGTGAAGCAGCATGATTTTGCTATGCAAGCGTCAGAGAGGGAAAATGCCACATACTAAAGAGCTCATGAATCCAATGGAGAACTGCTTTATGAAAAACAAAAGATGGGAACTGAAGCCAGACAAACCCAGATTTGAGAAACAAAAAACAAAAACTTTGAGTGGAATTAAGGACAACTCTCAAGGCAAATGATAGATTCCCTTATCCGCATGTTTTCAAATTAAGACCAGAGGACTTTCTGAAAAACAAATGGAATATGTGCTCAGAAACAATTAGTGGGCTTAATAAAGAATAAAGGCTTGACATTTTGTATCCTACAGTCACACACAAACTGACAAAAAAGTCTCTTAGACTATGAATCTATTATCTCCTATCAAATATTACTGAAAGATGGTGCTATCGGTCACTTAGAACTAATTAGTTGAACTCCTACCCCTTCTTTTTGGGAAGAGCATCCCTATAGTTATGTTTCACACTCATTTCACAGTTGTGTTCATTTGTCTTTGTTTGCCATCATCCACAGTTTCAGAAATTACCCATGAACATGGGTGTCTTCAAAAAAAATATAACTGTTAAGAGGAAGAAGTGAATATAAAGACATTATGAGAGGATGGTTGGACTAGATGATCTTGAAGGTTGTTTCCAACCTTGTGATTCCATGATTCTACAATTGTAAGAACAAAAAAAAATGCACGTCCATAAAATAAACCCTGACTTGTCTTAACAACTGCTAGAAACACAATTTTCCCAAGTGTTGGAAAGCAAAGAGTTCTAAAGAATCTAGTAGATGGAAGATACTTAAAAGAAGATTTTTACCCTTCAGATTCAAATGTCTTCGTAACAGGGATATTGCAAACTCAAAAGCATCAAGAAAACTCTAAGCCCAATTCAGGCAACATCAAATTATAAACTTCAGTAGTACACCTAGAGATGCCCCATGCACATATAAATATATGTACTTTCACATACATACTTACATATACATGTTTATATTTCACATACATATATGTACTTTTACATGTGTATACTGCTTCTTACCTGATGGGATTTTAGCATCTGAAATGCACTGATGTCTCCAAAAGCTAATAGCAGATCTTTCTCTGTTCTGCAGTCGACACAATCTCTCAGCCAGCCCTCCCCTGCAGAGAAGGAAGAAATGATCAGTTTTGCCAATAATCAGATTTGCCAAGAGAAACCATAGGACTAATGGAATATCATAGAATGGTTTGGGTTGGAAGGGAGCTTTAAGACCATCTAGTTCCATCCCTTGTTATAGACAGGGACACCTCCCACTGTACCAGGGTACTCAGAGCCCCATCCAGCCTGGCCTTGAACACCTCCAGGGTGGTTGAATACATATAATTTGGTCCTTAAAGACAGAAGCATACAGTAACATTACATTTTACAGATTAGCTCTCCCAGTTTTTCACTTTCCAGAGAATAACCATGTGTTTTATTAGGAGTATAGAATCAGTACACACAATAAAACATTTTCCACTATCTAGAAGTCCATAACCCTCAAGTTTTCAGTTGTGTCTCAATCTTTACACAAGGATTGTAAAGAAAGACCCCCAACTTCTCTGCACTTATTGTGACAGCTACTACAGACAGTTTTGAATTTGAAACAAACATCCCAAATGGTTTAGTGTAGCCACTAGTTATAACAGGTTGGGTTTTTCCCTCCTAGATTTGTTTGTCTGTTGGCAAGGAGTGATCACAGAAATATTCTTTTACCCATACTTGACCCTGTGATTCATTTCACAAGCTGGGTCAAGTGTGCAGCTTCAGTGGTCTGAACACTCTCCAAGATGGAATTAATTTGGCATTCCCAAGGTGAGGAGCAGAGGAGTGGCATCTAAACCGCACACATTTAAGGTAACACTAAAGCAATTTCTACCCCTTGGATTCCAATCCAAGGTACATCAATTTATCATCTTAAAACAAAAAATACTGTCATAGAAGATATCCCTCGGTTGTTGCAATGAACTTAAGGACAGCATGAGGGTATTTGTGCATTTCTCTCTGGCTTCAAACAGGTTATTTTTATTAAAAAAAATACATTATTATTTCCTTACCACTAAGTTTCCCCACTACAAGAACAATTCAGTATATTAATAAGGGCTTCCACTAAGCTGCAATGTGTCCTTAGTAAACTTGGTTTAGGAATCAAAGAGGGAGCACAAGACCACCTTGTTTGTGCATATGAATGGGGTTATTATTTTAGAATGTAGTTCACATAGCTTGGTAAAGCTGACACTGCAAATGAGAAACTGGGAGGACTCACACCTGTGAAAACCAACGAGGAGCTGAAAAGGCTAAACACTAAAAATCTGTGGTTAGAAATTACTGACAGCCATTTCACCTGCAGATAAATCGACAGGTTACATAAAAACAGATTATCAGTCTCAGCTGATTTTCTAGTTAACCAACTATCTAATTTGCAAAACCATAACTATCTTAAGACTTAGTAGATAGCATGGCTGAACACCTTAGTAGAAAAGACCACAGAATGGATACTCAAATTTAAGAGTCATGCTTTACCCAGAATGATTCATGGAAGTTACATGGTTTACATTATTGCAGCCTCTTCTACAGCTGAGGGGACTCTGGGAAGAGGAAAACTCTAATTTACTATCTTCCAGAGGAAGCAAAGAATCCCCAGATTCCCAAAACAAAGAACCCTCTCTCAAAAAGCTACAGGACTTGCTGTATCAAGCAAGAACACTGACAAAAATACTTCAGAAACCTTGGGCTCCAGAGAACTTACAAAAAGCTTAATAACATGAACTGCTTTCAGCAAGAATCACGAAACACAGAATCAACTAATACAGAAAAATGCAATGGATACTTCCGTATGCAGCAGGGTCAAGTTAAGCACAATTTTGTACAGGACAACTTGATCTGCTGCTGTTAACGTTTTGCCACGTTTACCTCAAACTTGAGTATTCAAGCATACTGCACTCCAGTAGCTGTGGACAAAAAGCTTTTACAAACATCAGCAACCTGCCCACCCAGTTCTTCTTCTTGCCAGACTGCCATTCTTGGATGTAGTTTGTTGTTCAGCTCTTCTGCATGATCTACCTAAGCCATGCCAGAACACCATTCACTTCAGCTACACTTGGAAATACAGCAGCTACATGCATTTGGAGTTTGCTTGCTTGAGTTTGAGACTGATCTCTATACAGAGAGTTGGACTACAGCAATAAACAGAAGAGCTAGTAGCTGAAAAACATTTCTGGTGGAAGAAGACTGCTCAGTAGAAGCATTCCAAAACACTATTTCATTCCTTCCACAAAGAACATTCAAAGAAATGCAGTTTCTTATAATGCTTAAGGCACAAAAAAACAGCTCACAGTATAATTTAGAACCATACAATCCTAGAATCCTTAGAGTTGGAAGGGACCTTCAGTGGCCAACTAGTCTGATTCCCCTGCAATGAGCAGGGACACCTCAGCTAGATCAGGTTGCCCAGGGCCTGATTCCATCCTCATCTTGAAAGTCCCCAGGGACTTTCCTCCCCACTTTTCCTGATTAGGGTTGCAGTTGTGCCTGGTCAGTCCCTACTCTTCTGGAAGCCCACTCCTACTTTACCTATGGCAGAAGCACTTTGTAGCATGAAAGAAAGCAGTTCCTGATTTTGAGGCACACAGCAGGAATTAAAAAATAAAAAAAAAAATTAAAAATTTTAAAAAGCAAAAAACCCCCAGTTTCAGGCCAGATGTGTCTGCCAGGGAAGCTATCTGACACTTCTTTACTGATTTCCTAATCATATCTGTATTAGAACAACAGTTATCACAGGGTCTATGAAGAATAAAATCATGTCTTTCCCTCGCAGGCCTTGATGCTGATAAAAACAAATTGATACTTATATTAATACTCATCCTTCAATTCTAATTCCAAAGGCAGTTTAAATTATTTAAACTGCAAACATACTGCATTTTGCATCTGCATGGTTGCAAGATATAAAATGTAAGCAAAAAAAAAAAAAAAGCATTTATGAGATGTTCTCAGTTGGTCACTGGAACTGCCTTCCTCCCCCCCCACTCCTTTGCCTGTTGCATACGCTGTGAAACTAGGAAAATACAGTTCAAGGACATGCCATGCACAAAAGGAATTTATGTAGCAATTGAGCTGGCTGTTTATGGTTCATTTCTTTTAAAAAGTAGAAATAAAAAAAGAAATTTAAATACTGCTCCAAACACAGGAGAATGAATTCCACTACACTTAAAGCAAAGAAACTGAAGGAAAAAAAAAAAAAAAAGGTGTTTTCTTTTGCAAGTTTGGCAGGTTTAAGACAACGACGCTTGAGATCAACAAATTTCTTCTCATACAATACAGGTGCCCACTGCTGAAAGTGTTCATCTATGCACTGGGAGATATTATGAACTACACAGACTCACTCTTGGCTGCACAGAGGAAAGGTAACAGAGCTACACAAAGCTCACTGAAAGCAGAGTGTGACACTGAGCAGGTGCCAACTCCAGTGTAAAACCAAACTCCTTGCTTAGAAAAGAGCAATGCTTCCAATTACAATTTTATTTTTAAAAATATCCAGTTCCCTCTTTTACACATATCTAGCCCTTATAACACACTTAATTGTCCTAGATGACAAACCCACCATCTGGAGTATATTTATCTCAAATCAGAAAATGTATTTTGATTACTAATTCTGATTTTTGTGATCAAGGAAGCCAGTGGTATGTATTTAAATGACAAAAGCTATAAGCTCAGATGCATACCTTACTGACCAGCACTTCAAACTTGACCCCAAAACAGTGTTTTATCATAAGCAAACGTAATGCATTTGGCAAAAAGTTAATGCAAAGGCTGCTCAGTGAAGCCAAACCGCTCAGATAGAATCTCGACCAGTCAAAACCTTTTTATTTTTAATCATGCAACTCTAAACTATTTTATGTTGTTTTTTGGTGTTTTTTTTTTAATCCCTTAAGGCAGTCATATTTAACAAGCAGAAATTCATGCACCACTTCCCTATTAAATCTGAGCTTGTTAAACTACTCATTTAAAATATGTATTGCCACTGTTGCCCAGGTTGAACAACATCCACACGAAAGGCGGGTTTGATGACCAAAAGAAAGCTCTGTACCTGGGTAAAAGCTTGGTTGCTTGTGATTGTTGGTTTGCACAAACAAACAGCAAGTTTCAAACGTTTTGTACGTCACACAACAAGTACTATCCAAAAGGTAACACAGCTGGAACAGACATATTGCTGGTTCCCAGCTTCCAACTCCAGTCAGGTTAATAGAGAGGAAAAAAAGAGCATTAGTGAGTAGGGTGAGTTTTAAAAAGTCATTTTCAATCTTCTTTGGAGTGCTGGAGCTCTACCTGTGTTCATGTAATGAAGTTTTAATTGCGCAGTGTAAACTAGATGTGTCCTCATTCCTCTTTCAACAATTCAACTTTCTCATGTAATATTTTTGCATCACACCACAGTTATTCCTGCAGGTCAGAAATGGTTCTTTGTAATTAAGGCCAGAGCTCCATCATCCCTGTGTAGTGAGATTTTGTTTACAGATCCTTGAGCCTCAAACAATATAGAGGAAGAGAACTAAGAGGGATGACAGCCGCAATAGTCAAGAACAGTGCAAGCAAGCACTTTTTAGGTTTCACAAATTCCCCAGCAAAAATATCTAAGTATAACTTCATAGGCAGTTGATTTTCCCACGTAAGTCATCTCTCAGAGTATATATGAAAGAATTTGGGAACGCACAGACTTTGAGGCCTGCTTTTTTCTTAATTTTTAAAGCATTGATTGCCCTTCTTTTCAGTTTCTGATAAAGTTCAGAGCAGCCCTCTGGCCCTTCAGGCTATATAATAGAAAAAAAATATTCAGATTGCCCTACCTCTTTTACAGCACTCACCAGAATTAAGATGATTTAACATGGAGAGACTTCATTCACAGAAATAAGTAATCCCTTTTTGGGAGGTATTGATAAATAAATTAATCAAGTACCAGACTCACACACCATTTCTTATAGAACGGTGACACAAATTTAAGAGGAAAACAGTGCAGGAGCCAGTTTTGATAGGAACAGCCTTGCCACACTAGATAAGGGAACAGCTCTCTTCACAGTTCTGAAGGTTTTGGTTCCCTGAGCTCTTACACAAAATGAGCAAACTTTAACATTAAACAAATCAAACCCATCAAAGTGACCCCTGTTCAATAGAGAATAACTACATCTCTCTTCAAACATTTCAAACAGGAAGATGTACTCTATATGAAATTTGGAAAATTTGTCACACTAAGGAAAAATTTATTTATTCATTTATTTATTTAAAGACTTATCTCCTTTTAACAACAGTCTTCCGGCCCATTTAAACCATCGGTTTGTTGGGTTTTTTTGTTTGTTTGTTAGTAAGAAAAGACATTTTAGCTTTCACTAAGTGACTAATAGACTGCCCATGTGTATTTTCAGTGATTACAAATGGCACATCTGTAGCGCAGCCATGATATTCTTCAGTTATATTCTCCTAATCTAAGAAGAAATTCACTAACAAATACAATTTCATTCAACTGTAAGGACTTCAGCCTAAGATCACTAGGCTTAAAAGAGCTAGTTTGTGGTTGTTATACTCTCGTGTTATTTATGGATGCATCTGAGAAAAACAGATCCAATTTTAAGGCTTGCTTCATTTGTGCCAACTCTTTCCTCTCCTGGCACTTTACTTTCAGGATCTCAGTTGGCCTCTTGTGACCATTTTATTGCATGTGGAACCAGGATATTCTGTAATTGTCTCCTTTTCTAAAAAGGAGAAGTTAAATATAGCAGATCAAACCTGTTGGTGATCTACTGATTCATGTAAGAGAATTAAATGGTATTTTCCTAAGATTTTTATTTCACTATTAAGCTAAAATTTGCATACAAAATTAACAAGAAAATCAATGCCATTGGGAACAACCATCTACCTTTGATCCAAACCTAAAGCAGTTACTTCTACACAACTAAAGGCAGTTGCAACACGACAGATTTTGAAGTAGAGTTGACATTATATAATGTAAGATATCCATTTCCTGCACTGAAAGCCAGACTGCTTTGGCTGATAGAAATAAAATTCTGTTTGAAAAAATAAACAATTCATAAAACCTCCTGGAGGTCTTCCTGTAGAAAGGAAACACTGAATGAATGCATTTTGAGTTTTCTTGTATACAGATACTGAATAAATGCAGTGACTGGTTTATCCTGTGTAACAAATGTTGAGACTTCCAACATACTCTTCATTTCTCCCTTTGTTAACGAGGGATACTTGAGTGACTTGGAATTAGCACAGTTTATACATTTCGCCTTGTAACACGAATTCATAATCTGAAAAGAGCTTCCTGAAAACTAGTATTTGCAGGACCTACTCCCTTCTCCCTTAGCTTTGCAAATCACTTGCAGGAGATTTTTATTTGGTACCATTCTACCATAATACTCATTGCTGCCAGCAGGCAGCTTATACAGAAGCAAAGGTAGTCTATACCTTGCTGAGAAATCAAAACTTTGTGGCAGAATAAAAGGGCAAGAACATCTAAAACCAATACCTCTTGACCTAATCACCAAGCCAACTCATCTCTGTATCAAATGCCACTACTAGTACTTGCTTATCAGCTATTTTAATAGCTTATCAGTGCAGTACAGTGGCATTTGTATTTCAGAACATCTTGGAAAATGATATTTCTTCCACTCACTCTGATCCCATTTTTATTTAAATTAAATGAATGTGGCTACCAAAGATGGCACATAAAGCCAGCATTTAAGGTGAGGATGTCCCGGATTTACAGTTTTACAGTGGTAAACGAAAGATTTCATTTTGCTACCAGCATAGCAGATCTGATTGGCACCTCCTACAGCACTGCCCTGCAGGGAACTCAAGAACCTGACTCGGGCCTCCAACACGTCTGAAAAACAAGGCAATACTGACTACCATCTCTATGCTGCAGTTCACTGTAGAAAGAACAACAATCTCCACCTAAACAATCCTGAAAACAAGAACTAGTAATACAGGGGATATATGAAGAGATGCTTTTATTTGGCAAAAAGAGTACAGAATAGATCAATTAAGTGAGGGAAAAACTGCTTACATGCTTTCTTTCTTTTCTGAAGATTCTAATTGCATCCCAAAACCCCACAGAGCTATTAAGTGAGAACAATTGCATCGTACCCCTTCAAATTTCACTCATCACATCCCAGCACTGTATATGTCCCACATTCCTTTGGAGGAGACAGGTGGACTTCTCATTTTCTTTCCACTCTAAGGTGTTGACCTTACACTCAAATTTCTAACACTAGCATTATTAGATTTTAATTATCCATAATCAGCTCATTTCTGAAGATTTGTTATGTATACTAAACTTCAATTTTTGTGGAGAATCACAATTGTATCAATAGGATGAAACAAACAATACTCTTTCATTCAGCAACAAGAGTGTTCCAGCCAGAGAGGCTGACTAGAAAAATGCAACCATTGAGGTAACTGGAACACAGCTGCAATTAAATAATATAGATAACATAAAAGCAGACAGCAGAATGCATAAAGAACATCACAAGAGATTATTCCACTCGGTATGCAATTTTTCACAAAAAATAAGCTAAGTTTTTTTTTTTTAAAATATGCTCTAATTTTTGAAGGTCATCACAAGCTCAGTGATCACAATCAGTAAAAAACATATAATTATTTTTTATTTTGTAAAAAATGGAAATAATAACATAGGTGGCTTATTCATATCAGCACTTTTCCATCAAGTACATATAACAAAACAGTCTGGTTTTGGATTAGAATCTCTCACACAGAGCACAGGAACAGGCTGTCCAAAGAGACAGCAGATGCCCCATCCCTGGAGCCATCCAAGGTCAGGCTGGATGGGGCTCTGAGCAACCTGATGTAGCTGTAGGTGTCTCTGTTCACTGCAGGGGAGTTGGAACAGATGACCTTTAAAGGTCCCTTCCAACTCAAGCCATTCTATGAATTTGCATAGGAAGACCAAGACCGTATCACCTCTGCTATCTCCTCTTAACCCACACTTCACTAAGCACCAGTCTGGAAAAAGAGAGCTCAGTTAAGCTCTTTTCCCCCCGCTGCAGAATTTCAAATGGTCCAAGTGGGAACTCATGGAAGAGATCCTGTCTGCAAGAATTCTCTTGCTTACTGCTTTTCTGCTGTGATCTCAATCTGCAGTAGAGGCAGGAAGGAAGGAGAAAGAACAAGCCAAAAAAAATGCAGCATAGCTTTTAACTATATAACCAGAAAGAAAAGATTATCACTTAATTGATCATGCAGCTGATCAACCCTCTCCAATCTGGACTTCAGTACACAGCACTGAAAACCTAAGCCTTCAACTCAGTGGCAGCATACAACAAAAACAAAAAATCCACCCTGCAAATTTTGTTCCTTTATTCATTCTGGCCAAATTGCATTCTGTATTGAAAAATTACAAATGAATAAATGCTTATTCTGCTGGACATCCATTTCAGACTACTTGTGCTATAAAAATACATTTTTGCACTAAGTGATATGTGATCATCAGAATCATCAAATTAAACTGACAGGTGCAGGCTGAAGCCATGTTTAAGCTATGTAGCCACTAACTGTGGGGTTTTACTGCAACACTCAAAGCTTTTTATGGCGTCAGAAAACTACAGGACAAATCCACGGAGGATAACAAAACACTCATACAGATCCTGAGCAGTAAACTGCCAAAAGCTCAAAGTACATCTGAGTAAAACAGCACCATGCCATTTGCCCTGTTCTTACTACCTTCACATAGACTTGCTGTTAGCCACCATCAGCATTTTTGGTACAGCTTTGGTCTGACCTATTAGAGTTCTGTCTTCAGGCTTTTAAAGTAGTAAGAAGTAAAGCTTGATTGCACAAGCAAAGCACTGCAAGTACAGAAATCCTCAAGTTGTTACAGCTTCAAATCTGTTCCCTTGGTTGGCATTTCTAAGTAGTCAAGAAAATTTTGAAAGATAAATGAAATATGGTTATTTAACGGAAGCAAGGATTCTCTAAGTGCCTTATTTTCTGATCGATCGCTGTATAAAATCAGTAGAAAGAACCATATTGCTAAGGATGCAATTGCTATCTACAGCAGCATTGCTCATCATTTTCCTTCTCAAAATTTAAGTCATGCTCACACAAATACCACATGAAACAACTTCTGTGAATTCAAAATAAGAACCAACTATTTTTGCATTGCAATTAGCTAGGGACGTACAGGATCATGTACATCAGAGCTCCGCATCTCAAGATTAGGTGGCTTTTGTTCAGCACCTTTTCAATACACTTAATTTAGTCACAAAGATTCATATTTCAGAGAAACAAACACATCCCACTTTTGCTCAAATATCACTCCATCCTGCATTATTCAGCACACCTTTCATATGCCATTTTGGATAATTTTACCCTGACAAATCCGGAAAGGAACAAAAAAACTTTGATTCTTTTGCATCTTTTGCAGACTATCTGAAGAGGCACATGACAATGAAATGATCGCAAGCTAAAAAAAAAAAGTATGCATGCTCATATTTGTAAGCTAATTTAAGGCATTTCTGTGATAACAAATATTGTATCAAATTGTATACTGGGGTTCAGGATTGAAAGGTTGACTCTAGTTTTGCAATTTGTCAAAAATCTTTCATGTGTTTGCCCTTGAAACGTATTCCTACTCTTCTTTTAGTTCATTCTTTTAGCATTATTTTATTTACAATTTAAAAAGCACTTCAGAAGAACAGTATCTTTACCTCAGTAATTTCCTTTTTTTAGCAGAATCTTCCGGGGTTCTTGAGGCCTTGCCTGACTGTTTCTTAGGTGTTTGTAGAAGGGCCTGTGCAGACTTGAGCCAATCGCTGGCAGGTCTTGCTGCAGCTTCTCCCACACTCAACTGCAATTTCTTAATGAATCCTGGATCAGTGGGCTGTGTGTCCACTTCTTCCACATAGTCATTGTCAGATGAATATTCAGAAATTTCTGCCAACTAATGAAATAAAAATAAAGAAGTATTTAAACAGAGTGCTAGTGAAATAAACTAAATTACATGAAATATCTGGTTAATTTCAGCTACAGATTTATGTAGACAGTTATGTTCCCTACCAATCAGTAAATGAAATCACAATTTATTGATTCATATAACTTGAACAACTGTAAATGCATATTATTTTTTTCTGAGTCAGCATGAACTGCTGAATATAAAGATCATCTGTTGAAAGAAAACTGAGATGAGTAACATCTGTTCTAAAATAACCAGATCTGGAGAACTCATCAAAAAGCTAAGTCAATGCCCATCTCCATTACAAGTTTACAAACAAGTGTCAGGAGCAAAGCAAACTCTGGAAAACAGAGCCTAATGTGGAAAGGGATCATGAATAGCAAGAGAGCTGAAAGGCAACACAAAAGTTAGGTCTGGATTCAGGTAAATAGAAAGTTTTCTGCCCTATTCTGAGCTGAGAAAAAACAAACAAAAACAAGCACGTGTCTCTGCATGAGACAGAAATTGTAGCTGGCAAGCAGTATTTAACATTTTGTTAAAACAAGAATTTGACCACTACAGCTAGCCTTCATGCATGTCTAGTGGGCCTGTGAGTTGCAGGGAAGGTATCAGAGATGTTGGACCGACATGCAGATGCTATCAGGCCACAGCCGCACAGCACCTTAGAGGAACCCCTGGTCAGCAGCCACAGCCACCAGCAAGCAGAGAGTGGAGCTGAAGTTCCTAAAAACCTTGCTGGCGCTCCTCTCACAGCAACACACAGGACACAATGAACCAAGAAAGGAAGCATGAGAAGGTCCCAAAACAAATCTGGAACGGGAGATGAAAGGCTCAGGAGAGTGCTGACAGGAAAAAAAAAATCACCTGCTTTGGCTCAGTTTGCCCTACTCTCCTGCAGGGCTCCTGCACAGACAGGGCAGGGCAGCAGGTTTGGCTGCCAGGGGTAAGCCAAGCAGCGTTCAGTTGTTATGTAAGTTATTATCTCTTGACCCAGTATTTCTTAAAATACCAAGTACTAAGGAACATTAAGCAAAAATACTTGGAAATACAAAGAAAAATAAACATGTGGCAAATAGTCAGTGAAGTGCACAGCCATTCATTTTTCCAGAGCAGTACAGAAATGCTACACAACTGCTCACTCCTAAGTAAGAACAGACAAAATTCATTCAAGCCATATTCTAATGAACTGAAAGACACTAATTTACTGAAAGACACTTAAATAGCATTAGAGTGTCTGCAAAACTACACTAAAGCTGAACTATAAACTGCATTTATAATACATGCTTTTGTCTCATTCTTCCACTGCTGTAAGTTGGTTAACAACAAAGCAGCACAAGTGCTCTGGAGCACAGAGCAGTTCCAGCACCAGGGCACAGCACTTCCTCACTCCAGCAGCCTTCCACAAAGCCTTTCTTTGGGGCAAGCAACTTCAGCAGCTCATCCTCCATCCCTGGAAAAGCCAAAACCCAGCTGATAACTGCAATGCATTAGGTTCATATTATCAACAGGGAAACTGGAAAAGAAACTAAGATTAATTAGGTCCAGATAATGCTGCTCTCATCACAAAATAAAATGAACCTGTTTAACAGCTCTCCACACAGCTTGTAAGACAAATGACTGAGATAAAGACTCCAAGGATAAAGGTGAAAGGGAGGGAAATCACTGCATTCACTAAAACTGCATGTTATTATTTAGCATAACCATCGGAAGGCAACATTTCTCCAGTGCAGACAACAAAGCCCCACATACAGCTACTGCCAGTTCTTTAATACGTTCTTCACGTAAATGATGAGACACTGCGTTCATGTTCTATGAGCTGACCTAAGTACTCTGGAAACTGGAAGGACCTTTTAAAGCGATCCAGAGAAGAACTGCTAAAAGAATGTAATTCATATCAGCCCGTGATTTTGCTGTTTTAAACAACGCAGTCAACACTCGTCCCTTGGCAACAACATCTCTCTGCAAACAAACTCCTTCCGCATTGGAAAAGAGCCAAAAATAAAAAGTTTCAAGCAGTACAAAAGCAGTAAGCAAGTGCTTTGTTCTAAAAACACTTCGATGCTTTAGGAGTGCTTCAGTTTTACACAAATTGCTATGATACCTGGTGTGCCCAAAGGATGCAAGCCTCAAGTTCTCCCTGCACGTAAAATGCAAATCAGGAAAGCCCTTGGGATGTAATTGAAGTCGAGCACATTACAATCCCACAGACTGTTGTAAGAGTTGAGAAGCTTTCTTAAGGCTTGTCTAATAAATCATTTCATACTTCTTCTATTATTTATTACTGTATACTTGTTTAGACTTAACTTCCCCAAGGAAACCACACTTTGAGGTTTTTGTTTTGGGGTTCTTTGCTTATTAATGCTTTTCTGTTTTGTGTTTTTGTTGTTTGAAATTGGTCTGTTAGCATTAAAAAAAAAAAAAAGTCTTTAAAAATGGAGAAGAAAAACAGGGAAGAAAAGCTTTCAAATGCTGAACATCATTCAGTTACCATCAGAAATACATCGTGAAAAAAATGTGCTCAGAACTTACATGATTTTTATGCATGCAGATAAAACACAGCATGTCTACCAGCATTATGGCAGTGCCCAGTTGAGAAAAAGAAAATCATCTGAATTCTTAGGTTCACTTTAAAATGATCACTGATAGCTACCGAATTGTATATCATTTATAAGTATCCTAAATACAAATTTTCACAAGGTTTTTGTTTAGTGGGTTGTTTGGTTTATTTTAAAACAACATCATCCCCAGTTGCATCACCATGAGTTTCTGGAGAGTGTCATTGCTGAGCACAAAGAAGTGTCATATTAAAAGTAGCAGATTTTCGTACATCTCTTGTTCCTTTGAAATATAGCCCCTTCTCTTTTATTTTTTACGTTACAGTGGCAAAAGGCACACTGCTCACACTACCCAGTCACTCAGTTTCTCCACCTTAGTTCTTCCTCCACACCAAGCCCAATCAACCATCCCCACTCTGGCATTTTCCACAGCTGGCTCTCATATATCTCCATCACTCCAAATACTCTGTTCTAGACTATCCACTAAGATTTCCTTTCATTTCCAGTGATGACCTTGCTGCCACACCCTCATTTATGTCATGCTAACCACTTTTTCATTTCCCAGAGTTGGTTCCAAAAAAAAAAAAGCAGGAGCTGACCTCACACTCTCTCTCCAAGATGACAAACATGGTTCATTTTCGTTCACTTTTAGAATAGATTGATTTCCTCTCTGAATGTTTTCCTTTGAAATGGTCTAAATGCTGCTCTTCTAGGACTCTTCCCTTTAATGGAAAAATGACTTTAGTATAAATATACAGAATAGTGTCATTTTTTCCACTGAGATTTGTCTAGAAGAAAAAAGTCACCAACTACTATAGTAGAGCATTCAGGACCTTGTATCTTAAAGATAAGCAAATCAAAATGCATCAAAAGATAGCTCTGAAGGAAAACTTCTGACGCATTTTCGACCACACTCACCAGTACATATTGGATGGCATGAACATGGAAATAGATAAAAGAAACAGCAAGCTTGTGCCCTTAGCCAACCTGTTTAAATTACTAAAAAATACGAGATCAATTTAAATAAAAGCCAAACAAAAGTACCTTCCCATGAGCACATACATTTTGCACCCAGCAGCAGAGCAGCTAATATGCAACTGATACATGTGGGACCAAATACTCCCTCCTCAGCTTTCAAGAGATTGACTTCAGCTGTTACTTTATTAAAAAAGAAAAGAATGCTTTTTTTTTAAAGTACTTCCACAGTCTGCACAGCATTTGCCCTAGGAAGGTGTGAAAAAGTTACCTTTTGACTTCAGTATCAACAGAAGAAAGAAACAAGAAATAGCTAGATTTGATTACTTTAATAAGCACTCGATGCATCTTACCGATAACACAGCAATAAACTGAGAAGGATTAAACCTCCATGTAAATTTTCCAAATTCAGCACAGAACAGAGAAGTATACTCAACTTTTTGTACAAAGCTAGCATTCCAATCTTCTTAAAACAAATAGTTCCAAACACATGGATATCTCATACAATGGTTGCTAATGAGAGGCAGTGAGGTAAGTATCTGGGAGTCTCACCCCCCTCCCCCCATGGAGCTCGTCTCAAGATACACTTCTAAAACTTCTCTGCAGAGACATTTCAGCATATTCACCATACTTTTGTATTGGTTAAACACTTTCACTTGTTCAGACATCACACATTTAGAAAGCAAAGTGTTTTTCAGTTTATATGAAGACATCCCGCAGATACAACACTCAGTAAAAGTACATTAATAGCCCAAAAGAGCCCAAAAGCTGAAACTGTTTTGCCTAGTTTCTATCTATGGATCCAAGTTGAAGGAGGGAAGATTTAGGTTGGATGTTAGGGGGAAGTTCTTTACAAGGAGAGTGGTTAGGCCCTGGAACGGGCTGCCCAGGGAGGTTGTGGATGCCCCGTCCTTGGACGTGTTCAAGGCCAGGTTGGACGGGGTCCTGGGCAACCTGATCTGAATGTGTGTGTTTGGTGGCCCTGCTAGGCAGGGGGGTTGGAACTACATGATCCTTGAGGTCCCTTCCAACCCGGGTGATTCTGTGATTCTGTGAATTCTATCACATTATTTTTTCGCCCAAATCTTTTCCCGTTGACAAAAAAAACCAAAACAAACAAACAAACAAACAAACCATCAAATTCTATACAGACACTGAAGCAATACTTGCAAATGGAACTCGCTTAGTCTGTTATTTCCCTTGCTAAAAATCATCTATTTTTTTCCCTCCCATTATCTTGCCACACCTTGGTTCAAACAGAAGTAGTAATCTAGTTCCTCAGATGGCACACTTGTGGAGCCAGGCATTTGGAAGGTCACAGAGCAAAGTTACGTTAGAAACAGAAATCCTATTTTGAGAGTTTCAGACCTCAATTTTCCTCTCTATATATACGATCAATCTTGTTGCATTTCCTTTCTTAATTGTCCTTTCATGCATCTTTGCTTCTAACTATCTTTT